TGCCAGCTCAATCCATTCATTATTTTGAGCCGAGCTTCAACATTTGTAGTTATGTCCAGTGTGGTAGTTTGCAAAGCAAGTACCACCTAGGCTCCTCCTTTTGAGCTGAAAATTTGTGAAGACGGTCTTCTTAGTAACTGATCATCCTCAGCCAAAACTCACGCCCATTAGCCATGTACATTTCTCGTACCGCTAATCAAACACTTGGCTGCTAATTCATGTTTGAGCATCGATCGGTCTCCTCGTGAGAATGTTATGTTGTGATTTTCTTCCTAGCACCTACCTGGGGAGTGCCCAACCCACTAGACATGCCTAGGCCACCCAAAACACATGGAAACGCCACGGTCACGCGGTGACCACGCGGCGGGCATGCGAGCTTACGTGCTCTAGAGTTGGGGCCCTCGGCCACCATCCAAACCTCGATGTCTCGCCATCAAACCATGTATTTCTGATTAAATAGATACTTATTTACCTAGAAATGATTTTTGGAAAAAATAAAGAGCAAACTATGAGGTAGGTGCAGTTCAAATTTGACCCGCTTCCAACTGAATCGACGGGAATTTGTCTTTTTCACCAGAGGTGGATCAAAAATTTTGACACCCAACCAGTTTGTCAATTGTGCATTAAATATGTCCTAGTATTTTATAAAATTGATTAGGTCCAATTTTGCAACAAATATATGGTCGGTCCTTCACAAAAAAAACTCATTTCAGGCACTCAAAAAATGGAAAATGGTTTTTTCGTGCAAAGAAAATGAATACTTCCTTAGGCAACATTGTTTGCCATTCCAATATGCACCCTTGTGCACGATATGAGATCATTTGAACAAACTATGCCATGAATGTGGCCATAAGATTGATCATTTGACTTGAAAGCCATGAATCTTCACACTTGATAGCTCATTTTTGAGAACACTTTTTTAAAATAATTACCGTATTACAATTTTATTAATTTTCCTGGAAACTTGGTCACATATAATGACACAATGCGAAGGTTTCCTAATTTTTCTAATTTTTTTTGAATTTTTTATGCCCGTTTCAAAATGCGGTCAAAACGGTGGGCTTGACCGTTCCTAGCTAGTGGTTGAATCTTGAAAAAAAAATTGGTGTTTCTCTTATTAAATAGACATTTATGTACCTAGAAATGATTTTTGGAAAAAATAAATAGCAAACTATGAGGCAACTTCAATTCAAATTTGACCCGCTTCCAACTGAATCGGCGGGAATTTGTCTTTTTCACCAGAGGTGGATCAAAACTTTTACACCCAACCATTTGGTCAATTATGCATTAAATATGGCCTAGTATTTTATAAAATTGATTAGGTCCAATTTTGCAACAAATATATGGTAGGTCCTTCACAAAAAAACTCATTTCAGGCACTCGAAAAATGGAAAATGGTTTTTTCGTCCAAAGAAAATGAAAACTTCCTTAGGCAACATTGTTTGCCATTCCAATATGCACCCTTGTGCACGATATGAGATCATTTGAACAAACTATGCCATGAATGTGGCCATAAGATTGATCATTTGGCTTGAAAGCCATGAATCTTCACACTTGATAGCTCATTTTTTAGAACACTTTTTAAAATAATTACCGTATTACAAGTTTATTATTTTTCCTGGAAACTTGGTCGCATATAATGACACAATGCGAAGGTTTCCCAATTTTTCAATTTGTTTTGAACTTTTTATGCCCGTTTCAAAATGCGGTCAAAACGGCGGGCTTGACCGTTCCTAGCTAGTGGTTGAATCTTGGAGTTTTTTTGGTGTTTCTATGATTAAATAGATACTTATGTACCTAGAAATGATTTTTGGAAAAAATAAATAGCAAACTATGAGGCAGCTTCAGTTCAAATTTAACCCGCTTCGAGCTGAATCGGCGGGAATTTGTCTTTTTCACCAGAGGTGGATCAAAACTTTTTACACCCAACCATTTGGTCAATTGTGCATTAAATATGGCCTAGTATTTTATAAAATTGATTAGGTCCAATTTTGCAACAAATATATGGTAGTTCCTTCACAAAAAAAACTCATTTCAGGCACTCGAAAAATGGAAAATGGTTTTTTTGTCCAAAGAAAATGAAAACTTCCTTAGGCAACATTGTTTGCCATTCCAATATGCACCCTTGTGCACGATATGAGATCATTTGAACAAACTATGCCATGAATGTGGCCATAAGATTGATCATTTGGCTTGAAAGCCATGAATATTCACACTTGATAGCTCATTTCTGAGAACACTTTTTTAAAATAATTACCGTATTACAAGTTTATTATTTTTCCTGGAAACTTGGTCACATATAATGACAAAATGTGAAGGTTTCCCAATTTTTCGATTTTTTTGAATTTTTTATGCCCGTTTCAAAATGCGGTCAAAACGGCGGGCTTGACCATTCCTAGCTAGTGGTTGAATCTTGGAATTTTTTTGGTTTTTCTATGATTAAATAGATACTTATGTACCTAGAAATGATCTTGGAAAAAAATAAATAGCAAACTATGAGGCAGCTTCAGTTCAAATTTGACCCACTTCCAGCTGAATCGGCGGGAATTTGTCTTTTTCACTAGAGGTGGATCAAAACTTTTGACACCCAACCATTTTGTCAATTGTGCATTAAATATGTCGTAGTATTTTATAAAAATGATTTGGTACAGTTTTGCAACAAATATATGGTAGATCCTTCACAAAAAAACCTCATTTCGGGCACTCGAAAAATGGAAAATGAATTTTCCGTGCAAAGAAAATGAAAACTCCCTTTGGCAACATTGTTTGGAATTCCAAGATGCACCCTTGTGCACAATATGAGATCATTTCTTTGAATTTTTCGTGTGAAAAAGTAGAAATTGACCCCCCCCACACACAAAAAAAACTCATTTCTCGTAACAATTTTTAAAAGATATTTTTCTTATTCCAATTCCAAGTTTGTTAGTTTTCCTAAAAACTATGTCACATTTGGTGACGCAATGAGAATGTTTCTTTTTGAATTTGTCATATCATAAAATTGTTTCTATGATTCAACACCTTTTTTGGAAAAATATGGTTCAACACCTTATTTTTAGTCGATTGTGACCAATTTAGAAGGTCATAACGTATACTGGGTTCTGATTGGTCCTTGGACATGTCACACGGATCATGCTCAAACACCGTCGGATGCTCTCGGATCCGACGGCAGCCCTTTCTCCCTCACCCCCTCACCCCTTTTGTCTCAAAAAAAAGAAAAAAGAAAACTCCCTCACCCTCTCACCCCACGAACCCTAGCGCTCCTTCTCCCTCACGCGCTCCCTCTCCCCTCGTCTCCCACATCGCTGCCGCCACCCCGCCGATCCCACCCCTCCCTGATTCAGATCCGATCCCGCCGCCCGCGCCCGCGCTCCTCCTCGCCTCCCAGAGGACGCCCGCCGCTCTTCCTCCGCCCGTCCCGGAGGCCTCAGTCGGCGCCCTCCGTCGCAGGGCCGCCGCGCTCGTCCCTCCCGCCGCAGGGGACAACATCCGGCAGCGCGTGCGCCCGCAGCTGCCGGCCAACTACTTTGGCAACGCCATCGTGCGGGAGCTCATGACGGTGCGGGTGGGGGATGTGCTGTCACAGCCGCTGGGGTTCGTGGCGGAGCGGATCAAGCGCCCGGTGGCGCGGGTGGACGACGCGTTCGTGTGCTCCGTCATCGACTACCTGGAGCTGGAGTCTATTGGTACCCCCTTCGTCTCAAGGTAGGAACTCCCCGATTCGACCCCTCCCTCTCTCTGGATTTGATTTGGTACTGCTTGACGAACCTTCTGTTGGTGCTACGCAGCGCGTGGCCATGGCTGCCTGCCTTCAGTCCCTGGTCACGGGGCTTCTCCAGCCGGCACGTCCTCTCAGCGAGCGGCCATGGAAGGTGAGGGACTCCTCACTCCTAGCTAGCTGCCTCTCCCCTCCCGGCCACATGCATGGAAGGTGACTGACTTGTAAGTATGTGTGTATGTGTTGGTCCTCTGTGTTGCTGCTGCTGCTGCCTGGATGCTGATGCTGATGTATGCTCACAGTGTAAGTCCATCCATTATCCGATTGTTTGTCAGCTTCAGTTAACCAGTCGACTGTTTTGTTTTCTGTCACTCAAAGAATTGATGTTTCGCCTAATTGATTGCAGGCTCGCTCGACTTGCCTCTATCTTCTCCACCACCATACTTTTGCAGAGCCTGGTAAGCTAGCTTCAGTAACTCTTGTTTCAGTTACTCGCTGTCTGCTTCAGTAACTCTGAGACAGTCTGGTTGCACATTCTATTCATTTCTGCACTGGGTTCATGCCGTTACTCTGCCTATGTATTGTGGGAGCACTTGTGCTCAAGAGGTATGGAATGGAATGTGTAAAAATTCTTGTGCCATACTTGCTGCTCAGGTGCTGAATTGGCTAACTAGAAGCCATTGTTTGATAGAAGAACATCTCTGTTCTTCTGATGGTTCTCACTCTGTTTGTTTACAGACTCTGCTTTAGGAAAGTCTCACTGTACAGTACTACTAATAGATAAGATACTCCTTAAACTTTGGATCAAGTAAACTGTCTCATATATTTTATGCTCCTCAAACTTCACAGTACAGTACTACATTGTTATGCTCCTCAAACTTCATAGTACAGCACTACATTGTTATGCTCCTGTTATCTCAACTCTTATAGTATGATGAATCAAGTAAACTAAAAGCACCACCCTGTTCTGTCTGTGCAGACTGACCTCCGCTTCCAGAACCATGCGGTGCTGGCCCTTTAGGAGGCTGCAGAGGCCTACCTGGTGGGTCTCTTCGAGGACACCAACCTGTGCGCCATCCATGCTAAGCGCGTGACCATCATGCCCAAGGACATTCAGCTGGCTAGGAGGATCCGTGGCGAGAGAGCTTAAGGTGCAATCAACTTACAATTTTGCTCAAATAGTCAAATGTTTCCTTGATTCTGTAGGATTAGTGTGTCCTGTTGCTTGTTGCTAGCTATAGGATCTGACTTTTGGTTGTTGTTTTGGTGATGTAGGCCAAGGGAAATGACTACCGTTCCAGGGTCTCCGGTCTGGGAGCTTGTGAAGAAGAACAACTGCTTCTTGATAAAACAGTTCGGCAACAGCAACGCCAAGGTGCGGTTCAGCAAGGAGCCCAACAACCTCTACAATGTCCACTCCTACAAGTTCTCGAGTCCATAGATCTTTGCAGTATTTTTAACCCTTTTGTTTGCAAGTGTCTCTGCAAGGAGCTAACTTGCTGTGGGGCTGATGTGGTTTCAGGCTTGGCGAACAGCAAGACCGTGGTGGTCCAGCCATCAGCGGGAGAGGACAAGGCAGTTGTCCTGTCCACGACCAAGACCAAGAAGCGGAACACCCCTACCAAGCTCCAGCACAAGACTCTGATGCGCAAGGAGTTCCGCAAGATGGCCAAGTCTGTCAAGAATCAGGTATTACAACTTGTTGTTTTGAGAAGTCACTTTGTTCTGCAAGTCGGACATAACTTCAGAAAAGTCTGCTGCTTGCTGGGGCTGTTCCCTTCATTATGCAAAGTTTGAAAAGCTTGAGACTGATCTTCTAGTGCTAAGTTTTGAACGCTAACTTTAATTTATGTTCCTGCAGGAAATGGACTGATTCCTTTGAAATTCCCATGTTGTAAATAGTCCCTTACTCCACTCAGGTAACTCTATAATCTGTCCCGCTTCTAGGTTTCCAACACTCGAATCTTTCATTAGGAGAGTTTGAAGTTGTTGGTGTATTCTCAACCATTGAGCGATTTTAGTCATCCTTTTCACTGGAGTAACTCTTGTCTAGTCTCCAGGATAATAAATCATGTTCTTCCATGTTTCCAAAAATACTTGTACTCCATGTTTCCAGAAAACAACAGCAACACACATGTGTCCAAAAATACTGGAATAAACTAGCTATGGTCTGAATAGCCTTTATATTAGGATCTGGTTGAGTCTCTATGATGTTCTCTCTTAGTGTCATGTCATGTCATGAGTTTTGAGTCGTGAATATATGACTGAGTTGTATAATCCTTTCCAGGTGAGGACTTTGACCATAGAAGTACAACCAGGACAACCATGTTGTTGGTGGTAGCTCCCAAGGTCCAAGGACGACTATCTACTTTGACAGCAAAGAGCCAAGCAAGGGTGTGAACCATAGTTTCGGTTGATATTTGCCACCATGTTTTGGATTGCACGTACACTTCTTGGATATAAACTGTAATTAGGCTTGTTCAAGCTATGTTACCGCGGACGTGAAGTCTTGTATGTTTTTGTGAATGTTGATCATATGAGTTCTGGATTTGATCATTTAATAAGAGAATTACTGATTGTTTGATTTTTAAATGTGTATAAATTGGAATCTGTGAATTAAAAAGGCCAAATATTCTACTGGACCAAACAATATTTGGGCTCTAAGAAGGCTATGGCCCAAACAAATCACATCGTGCAATTCTTAGAAGCTAGAACAAAAAGGATAAATGAAATGGACCTAAAATGTTGGGCTTGGCCCATGAAGCCGTTCAAAAATTGATAAAAAATATAGTAAAAAGGCCGAATTGTTGGGCTAGGCCCATGCAGAAAACCGAATTGGACCGGGCTGAATCTCGTGCCACATCAGCTTGCCACGCTGGATGCCTACGTGGACTGGGGAGGCTGCTAGTGACCAAAACGCCACAGTAGGAATATTTTGGTCATAAACATCCACGACCTTCTCACAGAGAAGGTCGCTATAGTCAGTTTACGACCTTCAGCTTTTGACCTTCTGTTTTTGGTCACAAAAAGGTCGCAAATGAAAAACTATGACCTTTCAGTGACCAATAGTGGAGGTCACAAGATAGCATATTTCTTGTAGTGAAGTGTTCAGAACGGCGGCGCCATCGCGCTCCGGGCGCGGTCATCGGAGGCGCTGCGGAGCAAGTGTGGAGGGTACGGGGCCGTGGAGACGAGGCTGTAGTACCAGCATGAAGGTGGATCGAGGGGAGGGGAGGAGGTTGGATCGAGGGCCAGCGGTGGGTGGGTGTGGGTGGCGGCGGGGTTACCTCGATCGGATCTGGGGGATCGAGGGAAGGGTTGGTGGGTAGTTTAGGATTTTTGTTTCTCGGGAGAAGCTCCACTGTTGGATGGATGCGCGATGTATGGCTCAGATTGCTCCAATTTGGTGATCCGCGTGAAGGAGGTTTCTCGCATCTCATTGGCTGGCTGTCTCACGCTTGAATCTCAAAAAATTGAACTCAAATCTCTGAATATTTTTTCAAAAAAACATAACAATGGCATAGTTTGTCAAAATGATCTCATATTTTGCATAAGTATGCATCTTGGAATGGCAAACAATGTTACCAAATATAGCTTTCAATTTCTTTGCACAAAAAATAATTTTCCATTTTTCGAGTGACCAAAATGAGATTTTTTGTGAAGAACCTACCATATATTTGTTGCAAAATTGGAGAAAATCAATTTTATAAAATATTAGGCCATATTTAATGTGCAATTGATCAAATGGTTTGGTGTCAAAAACTTTGATCCACCTCTCGTGAATAAAACAATTTTTCGCCGATTCAGGTGGAACCGGGTCAAGTTCGAACTGCAGCTGCCTCATAGTTTGCTCTTTATTTTCTCAATAAAAAATTTCTAGGTACAAAAGTATCTATTTCTTCAGAGATACACCAAAAGTTTTGCAAGATCCAAACCTTCACATTTTGAAACGGGCCTGAAAAATAAAAATAAAAAAAATTGGAAAACCTTCGCATTCTGTCATTATATGTGACCAAGTTACTCGAAAAAATAATAAACTTGTAATATGGTAATTTTTTTAAAAAAGTGTTCTAAAAAATGAGATATCATGTGTGAGGATTCGTGGCTTTCAAGTCATATCACCACTGTTATGGCCACATTCATGGCATAGTTTGTTAAAATGATCTAATATTGTGTACAAGGGTGCATCTTGGAATGCCAAACAATGTTGACTAAGGAAGTTTTTATTTTCTTTTGACGAAAAATTCATTTTTCGTTTTTCGAGTGCCTAAAATGTGTTTTTTTTATGAAGGACCTACCATACATTTGTTGCAAAATTGGACCAAATCAATTTTTTAAAATATTAGTACATATTTAATGTACAATTGACCAAATGGTTGGGTTTCAGAAGTTTTGATCCACCTCTCATGAAAAAGACAAATCTCAGCCGATTTAGTAGGAACCGGGTCAAATTTGAACTGCAACTGCCTCATAGTTTGCTCTTTATTTTTTCCAAAAATTATTTTTAGGAACATAAGTGTATATTTAATTAGACAAACACCAAAAGTTTTCCAAGATTCAGCCACTAGCTAGGAACGGTCACGCCCGCCGTTTTGACCGCATTTTGAAACAGTCATAAAAATTCAAAAAAATAGAAAAATTGGAAAACCTTCGCATTGTGTCATTATATGTGACCAAGTTACCGGGAAAAATAATAAACTTGTAATACGGAAATTATTTTTAAAAAGTGTTCTCACAAATGAGCTATCATGTGTGAAGGTTCGTGGCTTTCAAGTCAGATCACCACTATTATGGCCACATTCATGGTATAGTTTGTTCAACTGATCTAATATTGTGCACAAGGGTGCATCTTAGAATTATAAATGATGTTGACTAAGGAAGTTTTCATTTTCTTTGGATGAAAAATTCATTTTCCATTTTTCGAGTGCCCAAAATAAGGTTTTTTTTGTGAAGGACCTACCATATATTTGTTGCAAAAATGGACCAAATCAATTTTCTAGAATATTAGGCCATATTTAACGTACAATCAACCAAATGGTTTGGTGGTAGAAGTTTTGATCCACCTCTCTTGAAAAAGATAAATCTTCACCGATTTAGTAGGAACCGGGTCTAAGTTGAACTGTAGCTGCCTCATAGTTTGCTCTATTTTTTCCAAAAATGATTTTTAGGTACATAAATGTATATTTAATTATAGAAACACCAAAAGTATTCCAAGATTCAACCACTAGCTAAGAACGGTCATGCCCATTGTTTTGACCGCATTTTGAAATGGGCACAAAAAATATAAAAAATATAAAAAATTGGAAAATCTTCGCATTGGGTCATTATATGTGACCAAGTTATGAGGAAAAATAATAAACTTGTAACAAGGCAATGATTTTACAAAAAGTGTTATCAGAAAGGAGCTATCGTGTGTGAAGATTCATGGCTTTCAAGCCAAATGATCAATCTTATGGCCACATATTGTGCACAAGGGTGCATATTGAAATGGCAAACAATGTTGCCTAAGGAAGTTTTCATTTTCTTTGGACGAAAAATTCATTTTCCATTTTTTTAGTGCCCAAAATGAGTTGTTTTATGAACGACCAACCATATATTTGTTGCAAAATGGGACCAGATCATTTTTATATTATATTAGGCCATATTTAATGTACAATTGAAAAAACGGTTGGTTTTCAAAAGTTTTATAATCCTCTGGTGAAAAAGACAAATTTCTGTTGATTCAGTAGGAAGCGGGTCAAATTTGAACTGCAGTTGCCTCATAGTTTGCTCTTTATTTTTTCCAAAAGTTATTTATAGGTACATAAGTATCTATTTTATTGTAAATACATGGTTTGGTGGCGATACGTTGAGGTTTGGATGGTGTCGGGGGGGCAGCTCCAGAGCGCGTAAACTTGCATGTCCGTCGCGTGGTCACCGCATGACCGTGGCATTGCCACGTGTTCTGGGAGGCCTAGGCATGTCTAGTGGGTTGGGTACTCCCCCAGTAGGTGTTAGGAAGAAGAAGGCAATCGAAGATTCTCACGAGGAGACTGAACTAAGCTCAAACATGAATTAGTAGCCAAGTGTTTAATTAGTGGTAGGGAAAATGCACATGGCCAATGGGCCTGACGTTTGGACAAGGATGATCATAAACTAATGACACTTTCTTGGAAAATTTACAGCTCAAATGGAGGAGCTTACGTGTCACTTGCTTTGCAAAGTACCACACTAGACAAAATATGAATGTTGAAGCTGGACACAAATGAATGAATGGATTGATCTGAAATTTGGAGGAGGAGGATAATTTGGGCATATGAAGGCACTGTAAAAATTTCATACCATTTGGATAAATAAAAATGGTACTTCCTTCACAGTGCTCTCCACTCAATACAAAATGTGGAAAAATGTTGAGGGAAATTGGCTAGATTAAATGAGCTAAAATTTGGTGGAGGGCGGTTATATGGGTAGGGTCATGTCCTGGTAAATTTTCTGCAATTATAAATTAACATAAAATATAGTTGCTTCACAAACTGAAAATATTACCAGAAACAAAGGTTGGATGGTGAGCTCACATGGATTGTTAGATGGGGCTCAATTTTTGTGGAGAGATATGATTTGGGAATATAGAAGATGTGGCAGAAATCCAGCTCATTAGGATATGCCTAGCTAGTACTTCCTTCACAACGGTTCTAGCTGAGTAGAAACTTTGGAAACTAGCCTAGGAAGATTTACCATGGAAATGGAGCTAAATATTGTCATGAGGCAATTATTTGGATAGTAAAGAATGCCCAATTCTTTTTGGGGATTTTTGGAATGACAGAAATATAGACTGCTTGACAACCCAGGGCAAAAATTGACACATAGACATGACACATAGGCAAAACTGATGAGGTGGTGCCTAGTCATAGCAATTCAC